AAAACAAAACAAAAAAACAATGGTACATGAGCTTATTGCAAGCAGGGACATTATCTTACCCATCTTTGTATTTTTTGGTGCTTAATACAAAGTCTGGTACATAGTAGATAATTCAAAAAATGTTTAGTGAATAATTGAATAGATGGACGCGTGAATATTTGATATCAGGAGCACTTTAAAACAACACTTATGGGGCGCCTGGGTGGCTCAGTCAGTTAAGCATCTGGTCATGATCAGGTCTTGATCCCAGGTTCCTGGCATCAAGCAATGTGTGGGGCTCCCTGCTCAGCGGGGAGTCTGCTTCTCCCTCTGCCCCTCTACCCACATGTTCTCTCTCTCAAATAAGTAAATAAAATCTTAAAAAAATAATAAAAAATAAAACAACACTCATGAATTTAAGTAATCAATTCAAGTATAGGGAAAAGAGCGTACAACATAAAACAGAAAGAGAATTTAAAAATTCAAGGGACACCTGGGTGGCTCAGTCAGTTAAACATCTGCCTTCAGGTCAGGTCGTGATCCCAGGGTCCGGGGATCGAGCCCCGCATCGGGCTCCTTGCTTAGCAGGGAGCCGGCTTCTCCCTCTCCCTCTGCGTCTCCCCCTGCTTGTGCTCTCTCTCTCTCTCTGACAAATAAATAAATAAAATCTTTAAAAAAATTCAATTAAATTGTATAATGATATAATCTGACAGTTTTACTCAATAAGGGATAAACTTCAAGAAGAGACAAAATAGTTAAGCTATTTAGGGGAAAATAGTATGAAATCATTTTTCACTTTCCAAATGCTTGCTGCACATTGCACTGTGCGAGCACTTATATTCATTATCTCTCTTTAAAGCATGTTGTTGAACAGAAATAAATATTAAATGCCTACAACTACTCCACTTCCCTCAAAAGCCAAAAGTAATGAGAAATTGAATGTAAAAAGCTAATGTAGTAATGGCAGCCAAATGAAGTTTAGTAAGCTATGATTGAATTAATCCAAGAAGATTCCAGACGCTAAGTCAGAATACTTCCTTAGTATTGGTGTTTAACTGCATCCAACAGACAACATACCTGTTGTCATATACCTTGTGTTCAAAGAAGGGAATGAGAGAAAATCTATTAGCTGAGAAGTTCCAAGTAAGTCAGGCAAATAAATTTATGTCCTATTCTATAAATGCTTTTCTAAAAGTTAGTAATGCCTCAGAAACTTTTTTTAAAATATTTTATTTATTTATTTATTTGAGAGAGAGAATGAGAGATAGAGAGCACGAGAGGGAAGAGGGTCAGAGGGAGAAGCAGACTCCCTGCTGAGCAGGGAGCCCGATGCGGGACTCAATCCCGGGACTCCAGGATCATGACCTGAGCCGAAGGCAGTCGCCCAACCAACTGAGCCACCCAGGCACCCTCAGAAACTTTTTTTAAGGAAAAAAATATTACCCACTTTTCTAGTTTGCCAAGTTAATTAACTTCTCTCTCAAGCTTCAGTTACCTTACCTATAAAATGGGATAATAATAATGACTACAAAAAATATTGTGTAGAAGAAATAATTTTATAAGTCCATATTAGTGCTCAGCACAGTGTCTGACACATAGTAGGGCTCAATATTAGTATCAAGTAATAGTAAATGTTAATAGTATTTAATATTTAAATAATAATACAATTTAAATTTTTGTAATATTTTAAATTTACAATATTAATATTGAGTATAAATATTAAATATTTAATAATTACTCAGTGGGGTAGATGCCATTATTATTCCCATTTTGTCAACGAGGAAGCTGAAGCACAAGGAGGTTAAGTGACTTGCCTGGGTAATTTGGCCCCAGCACCCACAGTTAGATCTATTATGTTATTTTGTTTCTTGCATGACAGTCTTAGGAAATTTATACTGAAAATATTTGATAGTTTAAAGAAAATCTAAACTAAGGAATTAGATCAATTGCCACAAGACATCAAGTGAAACAATTCATGGCATCTATTCAACTGGGAAGGTCAGGTTCCTCTATAAAACTAGGTCATTTCCTAGAAAAGAGAAGGGAAAGGGAGAGAGAATGACACAGAAGAGAAAAAATCTGAGAGAGTCAGAAAAAGAGACGAGAGAGAGCCCAGGAGCAAGGAAGCAGGCAGGTAGGTAATAGGCAGAAAGGGAGGTGAGACTTGGAAGCAGCATCGAGAGAGAAAATTTTCACCTTTTTAGATGAAAGGTAATCAGACAAAGGGCTTTCAAAAAGAACTACAGAAGAACTTGCTCTGGAGATCAAAAAAATAACCTTCATGTAACTACTTTTTATAACATTATATATTTATTACATACTCACCCTCGGTTCCTTTCCAACTTACTTGGCTATAATAGTCTCCTGATGATAAAGACGGAACAAACCTGAATCAATACCTGATATGGCATCTGGATCTTCTCCATGTAGAAGCTTCTTAAGTTTCTTACAACCAGATCCAATAAAGTAGTAACTGGAGTCTACACAAAAACAGGTATTTTCAAATATTTAATATGAATTTTTTTCTAGCCAGGAATCCAACATAAAAAAACTCTCAATATTTTTGACCAATGAGTAGGGGAAGAGGATTGCAGATGGGGAGAGGGGGCGGGTAGCAGAAGGCCTCTGAATTATAAAGGGTATAAATACTTGAAACTCTTTTAGAATTCTTCAAATTCTATTTTCTACTTTCATGCATGTAGTTTAACTGAAACTAGGTTAACCAATCCTTAGTGTAATGCTCTCTTATAATAATGAAAATTATTTGTACTTCCATAATAACAGTGATCTAAATAATCTTACATTGTAATTACATGGTCCATATATAAATGGTTGCTTTAAAATACATTAAAACTTTATTATCTTAAAGAGATAAATATCCTGGGGCGCCTGGGTGGCTCAGTCGTTAAGCATCTGCCTTCGGCTCAGGTCATGATCCCAGGGTCCTGGGATCGAGACCCTCATCGGGCTCCCTGCTCATCGGGCTCTCTGCTCATCGGGCTCCCTGCTCCCTGCTTCTCCCTCTCCCACTCCCCCTGCTTGTGTTCCCTCTCTCACTGTCTCTCTCTCTCTATCAAATAAATAAATAAAATCTTAAAAAAAAAAAGATAAATATCCTTTTCCAGTTTGGGTTACACAAAAGTAATCCTAGATTATGTATCTGGGGTAAATAATCCAACAGCTAACATTGTTATACAGGGCACTCCCTAGACATACTAATGCTGAACCTCCGTGTCCACGCAGCTCTTTTATCCTGGACCCTGGAATACCTATCCATTAGCTTCAAGTGTACTGCCAATTTCCAGTCATGGAGCTGTCCCCATTAATTCGTTCTGTAATTCAGTGAAAATTCCAGGCACTGTCCTAGGTGATGAATAAACAGACCAAGTTTCTGAAGTAAAAAAAAAAAAAAGGAAGAAGAAAAAGAAGAGGTTCTGAATTCATGAAACTTACATTCTCTTGGGAGAGAAAGACAATTAAAAAAAAATCAGCAAATACATAATATAATTTCAGGCAGGGTTAAGTGCCATTAAGAAAGCATAAAGCAGGGTAAAAAGCTAGAGCAGAGAAGATGGGTAGTTTTAGGGAAGGCTTCTGTGTTTCTGAGAGGGTAACATTTTAAGCAGAGGCCTTAACAGGTGTGAAGGAATAAGCCATAAGAAGGTTTGGGAGAAAAATGTTCCAGACAGAGAGTAGAGAGAATAGGTAAACCATGTAACAGGGAAAAGCTTAGCATGTTTGAGAGCCCCTATCATAAATCGCCCTATCTCAGCCTCCCTGAAATACCCCGGCCCCGGTCTCCAGAAGCCCCTCCCCCTGCTTCCTGAATCCCACCCCCACTTCCTCCAGCCCGTGTCAAGTTCTTTTGTGGCTTGTTACAAAATTTGAACCAGTGAGTTTCTCTATGACACTGCTAGTTCTGACAAGACAGGGAAGTAAAAAATGAAAAACTTCTTTCATACTTCTCGGCCATAGGTAGGAAAGATCATTTATTTGCCCAGAGGAGGAGGCAGGGTGAGAAAGAAGAATATGCAGAAGTTAAGTGATAAGGAAGAGGAGGGCAGAGGAAATGTTCATTCTAAATTCCTAGTTGGAATCTGGGGGCTATTTTACAAGTAAATCATACACATGAATTTTGGTTTAGTGACAGTAGAATTAAAGATTTATGTAACCTGGGCCCTAACCTCCCTTTGTTATTATTTTGATGAAAAACTAGGTACAGAATAACAACTGACTTAAAAATGAGTTTTTAGAATATATTTCATTCAAAATTCATGAATGGGGGTGGGGCACCTGACTGGCTCAGTCAGCAGAGCATGCAATTCTTGATCTCAGGGTTGTGAGTTTGAGCCCCATACTGGGCATAGCATTTACTTAAAACAAAACAACGAAATTCATAAATGGGGAACTGCTTCCATTATATATACTTAAAACCATCTTTTTCTCTGAAATAATGGGAAAGAAGCTTCAGTTAAGGTTGACAGAACTGGTACAAAATTTGAGCTAATGTGTTTCTTGTGACATCAGAATTTGTTTAAACAAAGAAATTGAAGAAGGAACAATTCTTGTAGAGGCTTTAGAGACATAACACCACTAAAAGTGTCACGGCCTGTTACTAAAATACAGAGTGAGGCTGAAAGACAATCTTTTTCTAAGATATTTCAAAAGACATCAAGGATCTGACCCCATCTTACTAACTCTGTTGCTACTCTTCTGCTTCAAGTCACCGTATCTCTTGCCCAGATTATTACAACAGCCTCCGAAAAGGTGTTCCCACTTCTACCCTTGCCGCTGTACAACACATTCTCAACATAAAAGACAGGATTATCTTTATAAATGTCAGTCAAATCAGGCTACTGTTCTGCTCAAACCCTCCAGTGATTCCCCATTTTATTCCAAGCAGAAACAACATCTCTGCAGTGGCTTATAACGGCCCCCACCTCTCTGACCTCATCTCCTACTACTCTCCCCTCTGCTCACTGCTTCTTGCTGTTCCTCAGCACCCAGGCATGCATCACCCCTAGGTCCTCTGCACTAAGAACCATTCTTTCTGCCCAAGAACACTATCCTACCCTCCCAGCCATTTGACTGATTCTTTCTCCCCCATCCAGTCTTTACTCAACTCTTACTGTCTTAGTGAGGTCAATCTTGGCCACCCTAATACTGTAAGTTCCTGCTCACCCTCACCCTGGCACCCTAAATCCCCTTAACCAGCTCTTTTTCCCTTTTTATTGCAAGTATTGCCTTCTATAAACTATATGACTTGATTTATTGTGTGTATTTTTTTATTGTCTGTTGCCCCTCACTTGGATATAAGCTCCTCAAGGGCCTGCATCATTGTGTTTTGTATGCTTATGTATTCTAACCACCTATAACAGCACCTGGCACATAGTAATGCACCAGAAATGGGTTGAAGAAATGAATCAGTATGCTTGCAAATATTGATAGTGTTTTAAGTCTGCTTTCTTCTTTTTAGTGGGTATGGAAAAACAGCATTCCTTCAAACTTTGCACATTACAGGTACTCAGTAAATTATTTATTAAGTGAATGATTTGCCTTTTTGCTGGACGCAAATAGCTTAGTAATAAATGTGCCCAGGCAAAATGCCAGAGATACCTTGAATATCTCAGAGTGATACTTCAGTAAAAACCAGACCAGTTGTTCTGCCCATAATTTTAATAATGATCTCGTTTGCACAACTGCTTTGACAAGAGTTTTAAGGACCACCGTTTTGTTATCATACTGTAAACAGAAAGATTAACCTTAACTTGAATGATTTTTTTAAAAAGACCAGAAAATTGTAAAACTGTTATTGTAATTTTTTTCACCTGTTTTTGTAACTTGTGGGTGTTTGGTTCTCATACAATAGGGCATAAAGGTTAGTAGCCCTCATAATTCTCTAATGTAACAATCTTAGATACAGTATGTTGCTTCAAGTGTTTCAAGTTGCTTCATGGGATACAAAAAAATGGAGATTGTAATACTTGGTAGTCAATTATAACCCTATGATGTTGTATTTGGTTTGTGGATTCTTTTTTACACTAAGAAGTTTTTATGATGAAATATTTCAAACACACAGGAAATTATTTTTATAATTCTATAGGCCAGGGGTGCCTGGGTCGCTCAGTCGGTTGAGCGACTGACTTTTGGTTTCGGCTCAGGTCATTGATCTCATGGGTCATGGGATCGAGCCCCCTGCCCGGCTCAAGCTAGGCGAGAAGTCGACTTGGGATTCTTTCCCTCTTCTTGTTCACGCCACCAGCCCCCACCCCCCACTCTCGCACATGCCCACACACTCTCCTCTCTCTTTCAAAGAATAAATGAATAAATCTTTATAATTCTATATACCAAACACCTGAATAATTACATCCAGCATTATCAAATAGTATTTTGTTCTTAACATGAAATTACATGGCTACCTACATAGCTAAAAAAGTGACATGATTTATGTCACTCAATTTTTATTTTGGTAAAAGATCGCCAAATTACTACTTCAGAAATTAATATTTCCAAATACCTCAGCTCTCTAATCCTATGCTATATTAAAATATGTTTCTTACAATGCCCCTGTGATATAGTTACCTTAGATCTAATGTCCTATACTACATTAGTTACATTTGATAGTGCAATTTACTTGGCAGGTAACATTAGTGAAATGAAAAAAGACTTCATGAAGTACTTTGACACCACTGAAGAAAAATATTAAAATGTAATACTCAGTTTCTTAAATGTTCTGCTATTTGTTTTTTGTTTGTTTGTTTAAGTAAGCTTTATGCCCAATGTGGGGCTTGAACTCATGACCCTGAGATCAAGATTCATAGGCACCACCGACTGAGCCAGCCAGGTGCCCCATGAAACTTGTATGTTTAAAAATATTTTAGGCAGGGCGCCTGGGTGGCTCAGTTGGTTAGGCAACTGCCTTTGGCTCAGGTCGTGATCCTGGAGTCCCGGTCTCGAGTCCCGCATCGGGCTCCCTGCTCAGCAAGGAGCCTGCTTCTCCCTCTAACCCTCCCCCCTCTCATGTACTCTCTCTCTCTCTCATTCTCACTCTCTCAAAATAAATAACTCTTAAAAAAATATATTTTAGGCACACCTGCGTGGCACAATTAAGGGTCTAACTCTTGGTTTCAGCTCAGGTCATGATCTCAGGGTCATGAGATTGAGCCCTGTGTCGGGCTCTACACTCAGCTCAGAGTCTGCTTGTCCCTCTCCCTCTGCTCCTTCCCCCACCCCTGCTCTCTCTATTTCTAAAATAAATAAAATCTTTTAAAAAATATTTTATTCTACAAAAAACTAAAGTTTAAATATCTTCTTTTACCTAAAATTTCAATAATTCCTAACTGAATATCAGAACACTCATCAGTTAATAGGCAATCTCTCTCGATTATAGTATTTTACTACAACATCAAACAGTATCTTCTTCTGTATACTCAATCCTGTCTTTTCCATTTTGTACTAACTGCTGAATAACTGTAACTATAACTGGTCAGGGAAATAGCCAAACATTTAATTGCTGCATTAATAAACCAGTTGTCAACTCCAAAGGTAAAAACCAAACAAACCAAATCAATAGTTAACATTTCCATTTAACTACCTAAAAACTGTTTGATAAAATATAATAAAATCTAGCTTATATTTAACCAAATCTAAAGAGACTACTTTTGAGAGAATAATTTTAATAATTTTTGCTGGATGATTATAGGAGTAAATTAGAGGAAATAGCTTTTTCTCTTCACCAAATACTACCACAGCTTTCTGTACCTTTATTTTCAAGGAATTAAAATATTTTTTGCCACCTTTTCATTATTTCTAGTTTTCTTTTTTTAAAGATTTTATTTATTTATTTGACAGAGAGAGAGAGAGACAGCGAGAGAGGGAACACAAGCTTGGGGAGTGGGAGAGGGGGAAGCAGGTTTCCCACTGAGCAGGGAGCCCGATGTGGGGCTCGATCCCAGGACCCTGGGACCATGACCTGAGCCGAAGGCAGACGCCCAACGACTGAGCCACCCAGGCGCCCCTCTAGTTTTCCTAGATTTTGTTCGGAGGAGTTCATCTGCACTGTTCAGTTCCATGAGTGATTCCCTTGTTTTTCCCACTCCGATAATTAGGTGCATGTGGTTTTATTATTATTCGAAATAAAGATACCAAAATATTTCCCCAATCAAGATGCACTTCTATTCCACCACATACTGTTTTCTCTTTTTTATCTCCCCACCCGAGTAAAATAAGAAATTCAGAATCCTTTCACTCCTCCCTCTCTTCAGTGATGCCTTTAATTCCTCCTTTTCCTCATGGGCCACCATCTGAACACCCAGGTTTTATAGAGATAGGTTGGTATTTATCCTAATTTCCTTTAATACTGGGTCCCTTTTGTTTTGGCTTCTTATTTAGCACTTGTATTTTATACATCCATCCATAGTCTTACCATGTCAACTTGGAATTAATGTGTGTGTGTGTGTGTGTGTGTGTGTGTACACATACCGCATGTGGGTACACAGAGAGAAGAGAAAATAGTAGGAGGTCACAGATTAAAGTTCATTGCCCACGCTGTTTTCTTCCTTCTCTATCTGTCTCCATCTGCCTATTCTTTGTAGTCTGATTGAAATCTTTCCTCAAATATTTTCTTAGGTGTGACTATCTTCTAGATCCTCATGTTGCAGATGAAAAGATTAATGGCAGTTGAATTACCTTTCTCTTGCAGATAGCCTACCCTTTCTGCCTGGAAGTGCCAACTGATATGAGGCCAACTTACTGTTCTTCCCTGCAGAGGTGTCTAAAGAAATCCTGTTTCTCTGATAGTGTCCCTATACTCTCCCTGTCTCAAGGGCTAGGGAAGACTCAGTCATTTGTGTGGGTCTTTCTTGGCCCATTGTGAATTAGGGAAACCAACCATGTGCAAATAGGACCACAGCTGACTTTATAAGTGGGTCCACATGTCCCTGATCACCAAACTCCTCCCAGGATCTGAAACTTTCTGGTCCTCAGCCTTGGAGTCTAATGTTCTTTTCTTGTTTGGCCCATGTGGGAGAAGGCATCAGATATCAGGGTCGCCATGAATAGTACCCAAGGTTTTAGACTTAGAGTTCCTAGAAGCTGGTTTGTTCAGGAGCGACAAATACTTTGGAGATAGGAAGGAAGGAGAAGGGAGCCTCATTCAGGTTATATGGTTCCCCGAACATCTCTACAAATGAAGCTGATTTTATGATAGGGCTTATCTCGTTGGACTGTAATGTTTTGTTCCGTGAATATCGCTCCTACTAGATGATAGAGTCTTTTAGGGCAGGGATAAACAAACTGGTAGAAACTGTGATGGTTATATTATTTTAGGGTCATAAAACGAATGATGAAACTTTGGAAAACACTCAGGGTGGCGCAGGGAATGGATGATTGACAAGTCATTACTGAATTCATATGAATGAAACCACTCTGATTTCCAATGGTCTCACAGGTCATAACCAGTGATTTTCTATGTTAGATCAAATGAGAATTCACAGTGATTATAAAACAGAGATGCCAGCTTATATGTATGGATATGTTCTTACAACTTTACATATAAAGGGCAAAATATGTGAAAGGATTTCTTAGTTATAAATTTTTTAACAATAAAAATGATCACTTACAGGGGCGCCTGGGTGACTCAGTCGGTTAAGTGTCTGCCTTCGGCTCAGGTCATGATCCCAGCGTCCTGGGACTGATCCCCACATCGGGCTCCCTGCTCAGCAGAGAGCCTGCTTCTCCCTCTGCCTGCTCCCCCTGCTTGTGCTCTCTCTCTCTTAAATAAATGAATAAAATCTTTTAAAAAAAATGGTCACTTACCAGGTAGACATAAACTTGGAATAACCTCTTTGTCTAGACAAGTGTTTGAGAGAATAAGATCCTCCTCTTTACTTAATTGAAGATTTTGTGTTTTAACAGAAGGCTTCAACACATTTTCCAAGAATGGAAGGTGAATCGGTCAAAAAATACATAGAAATGTCTGTTGTTTCCAAACATCTTCCACAGCTTAGAAACAAAAGTAAGTAACCATCAGATTGATAACATACACACATTCAACCAATATTATAAAATTCTTCCATATATAAATAATATAAAAGAAAAATTACCTTAATATGATACAATGAATGAATTTAATGCTAAGATAATTTAAATTTACTAAATTACAATTTTTCTTTTCAAAATTAACCTTTAAATAGACATCAAAGTCATGAGCCATATTGATTTTATTATCTTTATTATAAAATAATATGATCTAGTTTTTATTTATATATTTATTCATTTATATTTTTCTTAAGTAGGCAGCATGCCCAGCGTGGAGCCAAACATGGGGCTTGAACTCACAACCCTCAGATCAGGAGTTGGCTGCTTAACTGACTGAGCCACCCAGATGCCCCTGATCTAGCTTTTAAAGCCAACAATGGGTTAATTCCAAATACAAAAAACTGCTAGTCAAGCTTATGAATTATTGTACCTGAGAGAACATGAGATTACCTAATTACAATTTTATTCAAGCAGCACAGATAACTGTATTTCTTATTTTTAAATTAAAATATAGTAGTAGGTTAATCTTAACTTGGGTTTTTGGTTATTCCTTTTTTTTTTTAAAGATTTTATTTATTTATTTGACAGAGAGAGAGAGAGAGACAGCGAGAGCAGGAACACAAGCAGGGGGAGTGGGAGAGGGAGAAGCAGTCTTCCCGCCTGGGCAGGGAGCCCGATGTGGGACTCGATCCCAGGACCCGGGATCATGACCTGAGCCGAAGGCAGATGCTCAACAACTGAGCCACCCAGGCGCTCCCTGGTTATTCCTTTTAAGAGTTAATGAAATTTTTCATTATCCTAATCATGAGATCATAATTAATGTTTTGTTTTTCCTATAAATCAAACAAAATTATAGAAGTAGTAGCTATAGTAAATCTCTTGCAGAGCTCCCAAGCTGGTAGCCTATGCATTAAATTTGGACCACAGCTATGGTTTGTTTGGTTATAAAGTATTTCGAATAAAATTAACTTGTATAAAAATGACAGATTTCATGTAAAATGTTGAGTTTCAAGCTTCCCTATAAAAAGAATCACAAGATCTCATAAAACATTGGGCTTGAATTCAAATGCCTGACCACAGAGAGTTGATATGAATTAGTGGATAGCCCTTTTGGATTGGCATGTCATTTCCAGTTCACCACAAACCCTACCACTCCATTGTATCCCTAACAGTGTGGCAGGGTCTCAGTTACCATTTTTTTGATACTTTTCTGTTGGTTTTACTATAGTAAAAATCAATTTCTCTATACATAATTATATTTCTGTGTTAAATGGGAAAAGGAAAAATAGCCTGAGAAGGCCATACATTTCAAGCAAAACAATGGTACATATATATTTACATATTTGATAATTAAGTACTCCCTGGATTTCTGATCTATCTGGCTCCTAAAGGCATCTCAGTTTGCCACCTTTGAGTTAAAGACCAAAAATAAATCAAATTCACAATCTTTTAGTAAAAACTTGAGTTCATAAATAGCCTCTAATCAATCAGTCCACGTTTGTTAGTACCAAACTTTCAGCATGGCACTGAACAGGTGTTAGAAAAAAATACATAAAAACTAGTGGACCTTCAGCAGCCATACTGTAAGTAAGGAGGTTAAGATAGCCACTTATGAAATGGGCAAAGGCAAATTTTATGAAGTCACTGAGAAATACAAGTAGATATATTATAAATAAGTCCAAATCTGGAAAAAAGAGTATTCTTCAAGAGCATCAAGGCAGAACATTAATTTATTCAACAAATATTTATTGAGACCTATTTTGTGCTTGGCACTGTTCTAGGTGCCAAGGATACAATGGTAACCCAAATAGGCAAAAATCCTTGCCTTAATGGAGCTTATATTCTATGGCGGGGGAGGGGGCAATAAACAAACACACAAACAAAAAGTGAAATACGTAGTGTGTTGGTTAGTGGTAAGTTCTATGGAGAGAAATTAAGCAGAAAAGAAGAGAAGCAGTGCAAGATGGGGTAGTATTGCAATTTTAAATAAGATGTGTGGAAACTATCATTGGAAAGATGATATTTAAACAAGGATCTGAAGGAGACAGAGCAGAGAAATGTGCATGTCTAGAACATACTAGCCCAAAGCAGTGATGATAAACAGAATAGCTAGTTCTGTGTAGAGAAATCAAACTCAAGATGGATATATTTTTTTAAAGATTTATTTATTTATGTGAGAGAGAGAACAGGGGTGTGTGGTGGAGGGGCAGACAGAGAGGGAGAAGGACAAGCCGACTCCCCACGGAGGACAGAACCCCACACGGGGCTAGATCCCAGGACCCTGAGATCAGGACCTGAGCCAAAATCAAGAGTCGGCCGCTTAACCAACTGAACCACCCAGTGCCCCCCCAAACTCAAGAAGGATATTGTGGCAACACATACAATCACCATGGTTATCTTTATGAAGCACTTCATCCTCAGTGATCATTGGGCTGAGTGGAGGATACAAGGGGGATCGACTCTGCATTTGATGAATGTACAGTCTATCCAGTGTTTAGGATAGCCTATATACACACATATATATGTGCATATAGGTGTGTGTGTATGGAATCTATATATAAAAAGAAAATATTTCTTCAATGAGGAGACTGTACTTGCGCCACTCATCCATTAAACATTTACACACTTTCCAACAGCTAGGCCCTGTGCCATTCAATGGGGATAGAATGGTGAACAAGAAAAGGACTGTCCCTAAGTACCTCACACTCTAGTGGGAATAAAGACAAGTAAGTAAACAGGCAATTTCATTAAGTGTGCAAATGTTTTGGTAGGAGGAGTACAGTGTGTTCAGTAGGATGCAAACTTTGTTTCCACTGAGGAAAACTTTGTCCAAACATATTCTGGAAGTCAAGTAAAACATATGAACAGTGGAGTTGCTCTAGCTGATACTCCTGAGAATATCAGCATTCCTGAGACCTACCCCACAGAGATGAGGGAGAGGTTCTATTCTGCACCCTAACATTTCTAAAACAACACATGAAATATTAGTCATGATATTATTAGTAAAAAACCAAATAACTGTAAAAAGCAAACAAATGTCAGCAAAGGTGGGTCACCTTAACTGTTCGTGCCAAACAAACGCAAATTTGCAATGAAACCTGCAGTGATCACACTGCTTTACCACTGCTGGCAGTCCTCAGCTCAAGTGAAGTAGTTTCTACAGTTATTTGGAAATTAAGAAATGGCTTTTCTCAAAAATAGAGGAACTAATACTTCTATTTCTTGGATGAAATTTATATAGGTGTGTTGCCAATTGCATACCTTTAACCAGCCTTTCTTTTTTTTTTAATAAGTTCTACACCCAACGTGGGGCTTGGACTTACAACCCTGAGATCAAGAGTCACATGCTTTATTTATTTATTTATTTAGATTATTCATTTTTATTTATTTGAAAGAGCGAGTGAGTGCGAATGAGAGCACGAGTAGGAGGGGAAGGTCAGAGGGAGTGAGAGAAGCAGACTCCCCACTGAGCAGGGTGCCCAATGGGAGGGGGGGCTCTATCTCAAGACCCCAGGATCATGACCTGAGCCAAATGCAGATGCTTAACCAACTGAGCCACCCAGGAGCCCTAAGAGTCACATGCTCTTACCAACAATAGCCAAATTATGGGGCGCCTGGGTGGCTCAGTTGGTTAAGCGTCTGCCTTCAGCTCAGGTCATGATCCCAGGGTCCTGGGATTGAGCCCCGCATTGGGCTCCCTGTTCAGCGGGGAGCCTGCTTCTCCCTCTCCCACTCTTCCTGCTTGTGGTCCCTCTCTCACTGTGTCTCTTTCTGTCAAATAAATAAATAAAAATCTTTGAAAAACAATAGCCAAATTATGGAAAGAGCCCAAAAGTCCATTGACCAATGAATGGGTAAAAAAGAGGTGGTGTACAGATGCAATGGAATATTACTCAGCCATCAAAAAGAATGAAATCTTGCCATTTGCAACACTGTGGGTGGAGCTAGAGAGTATTATGCTAAGTGAAATGAGTCGGAGAAAGACAAATACCATATGATTTCACTTATACGTGAAATGTGAGAAACAAAACAGATGAACGTGGGGGAAAGAAAAAAAAAGAGAGAGAGGTAAACCATAAGAGAGACTCTTAACTATAGAGAACAAACTGAGGGTTGCTGGAGGGGAGGTGGGTGGGGGGGATGGGCTAAATATGTGATGGATATTAAGGAGGGCACTTATTGTGATGAGCACTGGATGTTATATGCAAGTGTTGAAACACTAAATTCTTCTCTGAAACTAATATACTATATGTTAACTAACTAGAATTTAAATAAAAACTTGAAACATAAAAAAAAGTCACATGCTTTGCCAACTGAGCCAGCCCGGACCTCTAACCAGTCATATTTTGCCAAATAGAAAGTGGCTTAAATGTTCTTGTTGGCCAGCTAATTATTTAATTTTATTAAACCAGATAGTGTCTATATTGTTTTATTCCTAATTTTATGTCTGTTAATATGTCTGATGGGGTTGTTTTGTGCTTGAGGATCACAGAAAAATCAGATTTCAGTGGATAACAACAGTGAAAACTCCATGCATGCCTGATTTGTTAGAAATTGGAGAAACTTCCGAATGCGCTTTCTCCAAAAAATTTTGGTTTGAAAATTTATCTTCTAAGCAAGTGAATTTTTTTTTGCCTTAAATACAAGAGCAGTCAGTCAATTTTAAAGTTAGTTATCTTTTGCAAGCCTTTTTACAAACAAAAATGAACAACAACAACAAAAAACCCAAACTACTAGATTTAAAAGGCTTTTGAAGATAGATTTTTTTTTTAAAGATTTTATTTATTTATTTGACAGAGAGAGACACAGCGAGAGAAGGAACACAAGCAGGGGGAGTGGGAGAAGGAGAAGCAGGCTTTCCGCGGAGCAGGGAGCCCCACGCGGGGCTCGATCCCAGGACCCTGGGATCATGACCTGAGCAGAAAGTAGACGTTTAACGACTGAGCCACCCAGGCGCCCCTGAAGGTAGATTTCTTATTAGTAACCTATTAAAAACTCCTCTGAAAACTATGCTTTTGTTAGAACAACTAAAATAATTTTTGTTTTTCTATTCTGAAGGCTGACACATTCAGTTGTGACAAAGAGCAAACATACCAAATACATTTCACTCATTCTCATTTCATGTTAGCAATACTTTGCTGCAACAATAATGATAAAACACTGATAAAATATGGAAATCTAAGTCTGAATCTTGTTGTCATTAGTTAAGTGTGGAAACTTGGCAAATTATCTAATTTCTCTAAGTCTGTTTCCTTATATATAAAATAATCAATCTAAACTAAAGCAGTGGTTCCCAGACTTGGTTGATCTTTGTTTTAACATAAAAAACTCTCTTTTTAATTTTGACAAATCTTAATAGTTTATTCTTTTGTGACTTAATGCTTAAAATTACTGGTTAAATGCAATAGTATTAAATCTACACGTATTCTTCCTAATTTCATCTAACATTTTCTGTTAAATATATCACATATAAAAGAGTATATAAAAACATATGTACCACTTAAAGTATTTTGGGAGGGCCTGGGTGGCTCAGTCGGTTGAGTGTCTGACTCTTGGTTTTGGCTCGGGTCGTGATCTCAGGGTCGTGGGAATGAGGGGACTCTGCACTCAGTGCCAAGTCAGCTTGAGATTCTCTCCCTTTCCATCTGCCCCTTCCACCACTCGTGCTCTCACTCTCTCTAAAATAAATAAAATTTAAAAAAATGTAGTGTTTAGGGCGCCTGGGTGGCTCAGTTGGTTAAGCGACTGCCTTCGGCTCAGGTCATGATGCTGGAGTCCCAGGATCGAGTCCCGCATCGGGCTCCCTGCTCGGCAGGGAGTCTGCTTCTCCCTCTGACCCTCTTCCCTCTCATGCTCTCTGTCTCTCATTCTCTCTCTCTCAAATAAATAAATAAAATCTTTAAAAAAGAATGAAGTGTTTGGGAGATATATATTAGGGAGCGAAGAGACCTAAAACAGCATTCTCCTCTGTAGAAAATTAATAGATGTACCTAAAACTGAAAAGATCGTGAGATGGCATTATAAGCACGCTATTTAGAAATATGAGATACAAGTTGTAAGTTGTTGTCTTGGGGAGGGAGACATGAGTGAGAGGAGAAGGGGAGGGAACTCCTAGTTTCCGTTAATAAAACCCGTAGGACTATTTGAATGTTTCATATTCAATAATAATAACATTTCAAAAAGTAACATCAGAATGCCAGCTTTCTTTTCCTACTGTGTCTTATGTATTTATTTATCCTTCTGAGTCTCAGTTTCCCTAACTATAAAATGAGAGTTTTAGCCCTTACTTTACAGACCTATTGTTAGATTATAAATAATACATGCAAAATGCATAACAGATTGCTTAGCAAGGGAAAGGCCCAGTAACTGGAAACTATTTTTATTAACATATTTACTGATAAATTACACCCATCTTTAGTTAAGAATTTCTAGAGGTAGCTTATATCCTCAAGGGTAAATGATGGGACAACTTTTTTTTTATTTGTAGTAGATAAGAATCACTTTCGCTTGGCTCCTCTTCTTCTGCGTGTCTACTAGTATTCCTCAGAGTTCTCTTCCAGTCCCACTTCTCTTCTTATTGCCCTTTCTTTGGGCACTTTGTCTTTCCCTTATCACACGTCTCCTAATTATTGTTATCTTTTGCTCCTCCAAGGTGCAAATCATTCTTGTCTTGCTTCTGTAATGGTTTGACCAAATGCAGTAAAAGATGTAACCATTAATGAATTATGTATGCATCCCTCTTAACTGCCCTGGGTATGGGGCTCTTCTTTCCACCTTTAGTGGCATCATAAGGAGAAAATCACAAGTAGATGAAGTAAATAGTAAAGAGAAGTAGAGCAACAGATTGCTTAGTTTGTCCTGAAAGGTAAAAGGTAGGGAGATGTTTGGGAAGGGTCGTAGAAGATGGTCTTGGATTACAAATAGTAAGGACTGGTAATGAGTCTACATGTCTTTTTTCTGGTAGTATGGCCTATAGCACCTCAGTTAATCTGATCATGGTCATTGTAAAAAACAAATGTTATTGGATCTATGTTGCCTCACCTGTCTTGTGTGATATAATTATGATGTAGAAGGAAACGCTAATAGAGGTGTAGCGAATCAATACACAAAATACACTACTTTTATCATATTTGAAAAGTTAATTTTTGGAGACAGTAAAGAGATCAGTGGTTACCAGCAGTTAGGGGGAAGGAAAAAAAGATGAATAAGTGAAGCAGAGAAGATTTTTAGGACAATGAAACTATTCTGTATGATTCTATTGGCAGGTACATGTCATTATACATTTGTCAAAACCCGTATAATATACAACGCAAAGAGTGAACATTAGTGTAAACTATAGGTTTTGGGTGATAATTATGTATCAAAGTAGGTTCACAGATTTTAACAAATATATCACTTTGGTACAGGATGTTGATACCTATGGGGGCAGGGGATACATGGGGACTCTACTTTCTGCTCAATTTTTTGTGAACCTAAAACTGTTCTAAATATTTTAAAAAATCAGTTCTTCCTTACAAAGTTCTGGAAAAAATAATGAAAACTGAAATTACCTTTTTTTGAAAGTGAGAGAACAGGTTTATCAACTATGATATTTGGAGGTAAAGCCATATTCCCACTCATTGTATGAATAGGTTCCTCTATTCTTTCCTCACCAATCTCTTGTGCTAGAGGATTTGAAATCATTTCATCTCCTGGTCTGTTAAGAAATAATAAGTGGACTTTTCTATTATATTATATGTGGGATCAAATTTCAAATATACATTTTAACTTATTAAAACTTATTTAGACATTCCCTATTTCCACAAAGGATTTCAGGGAGCTTACAATAAAAAAACACAAGTAATAAATTTATTAGATAATAGAATGTCACCAGAAGAGGACAAATTAGGATTGTAAATAAAGAGAAAGAATATATACTAATTCTAAAGTTAACATGATTACTATGATGTAATAGAAAATATTTACAGTGAGTTTCCAGATAACCTTGGCTATTTTTACTTTGGCTAAGTCACTTTTCAAAATATAAAGCATATAATTCATCAAAGAAGATACAAGTTCTTCCTTGTATAAATTCTGAAAAAAAATTTATGTGGTAATGTCTTCCATAACGGTTTTAGAGCAAACACAGACATGGATTAATTTTCACATGGCTTTTCTTTTATTGGCTTCTGAATAAAACTGAAAGCATAACATTTAAGTTGAGTTCAATGAAGCCTGTTCTGTTAGAGTCTAAACACAATATATTACAGTATATTGGCTGACACTAACCTTAAAGATTCCTTTGCTTTTATTTCATCAATTAACCCATTCCCAGAATCCTTTTCTTCTTTTGCAAAAAAAATAAGATGATTTATTGTCTAGAAAACTGTAGAGACTACTGTTTGAATCTTCAAATTCTAATTCCTTTTCATTTTTCAATAGCTTCATTCCTACTAGTTCAAATACTTTATGATTCATTAGAACGTGGCAAAGACAAACTCCTTTAAGAAGAGAGGTGTCATTGCACTACTTAGGCATGTATTTTGCCAGGGATGACTTAATACTGCATCAACAGCAACAGAACCAGTAAAATGTCTTTGTATGTTCATAAATGATGTCTCCTTTTTATTTCCACTTGAGTCTGAAGGGAGTGAATAATACCACCCCATAACTGATTGAAAAGAACCAGAGCATCCTGAAAAGAAAAAAAATTAAACATGTTTCTTACAAATTTAGATCACACAAAAATATGTAAGTTTCCCAGTTTTGACAACCTTATGCTTTTATATGGCGTATCTGTTGCCAGTGCCTCTCTTAAGTTTCTTTTCCTCCCATCTTATGTAAACCATAATCTATTTACTAAGACTGCACCATGTTTGTCTGCCAATAAAAACAGAGTAAACTCAGGAACTTGCTTCACTGATATGAAATAGATTATTGTGTGAATTTATATACCCTCAGTGTTACATGATTAACTACTAGCTACACTTAATCTTGAAGAATATTATTTTAGGGCATATTTAAAAGGAATGCACGCACACATTGGAGTCTTGATTATTATAGTTGTGGCTTCATGAGCCTCTTTGCTTTTTCTTCTTTTTGACTTTCTTGACCAATGGCAAGCTCTTATGAAAGAGATCTAGGTCAAGGAGCTGAACAAAACTAATCAATTTATCTGTCAGTTGTTCTGTAAGGAACAGTTTGTGAGGAATAATGAAAACCTGAAAACAATAAAAATATTCATCACCTGAGAACATTTAAATCAATTATGTCATAGCCTTCCTGTGGAATATTAAACAGCCAATTCGGAAGAATGACATTTATAGCATGGAAGGATTTCATTAAGTAGGAAAAACAAAACAAAAATGAAGAGCAAGTAGAAAATGTGTATACTATCATCTTAGTTATAAAAAAATGAATTCCTGAATTATACACAAATATATGTAAATAAATAGAAAGGTCTAGAAGGCTAACTTTCAAACAATTAACCTTTGTGTTCACTTTTTATTATATATATTTGTGAACTTTTTAATAATATACATATATACATTTTTCAATTAATTGGAGACAGTAAAATTTTTCATTGATATATATGTATAATTCACATACCACAGATTCACCTTTATTTTTTAAATTATTTTTTTAAAGATTTTATTTATTTATTTGAGAGAGAGAGAGGGAGTGTGAGAAAGAGCATGAGCAGTGGGGAGAGGGAGAAGCAGGCTTCCCAATGAGCAGGGACCCCAACGTGAGACTGGATCCCAGGATCCTGGGATCATGACCTGAGCCGAAGGCAGCCGCTTAACCAACTGAGCCACCCAGGGGTCCCTATTTTTAAATTATTATTTTTTTAGTAGGCTCTATGCCCAAGGTGGGGCATGTGAACTCATGACCCCATGATCAAGAGTCACCTGTTCTAACAACCAGGCACCCCAGAATTCACCCTTTTATAATGTAGAATTCAATAGTTTTTTTTTAGTACACTCACAAAGTTGGGCAACATCACTATTATTTAATTTCAGATCATTTCATCACTTCAAAAAGAAACCCATACGTTAGCAGCCACTCCTCATTCTTCTCTACCCCAGTGAATTTTTAATTAAACAATTTTAAGAATAAGGGAATAAGTTGAAACATCTAGACTGTTGTTTCTAGGTCTTTTGTTATTAGAACCCAAGAATTTAAGCTCTCTCCTCCTTTGACTGGAAACGGGATTCCCAATTTTACATAATGTTCTGATGTTATGACAAAATGACAGAAATAAAAGCCCCATCACCTTCAAATGTCTTTCGTAACAGAAACTGCCCATCTGTTTATCCTTGAAATATTAGCCGAAGACCCTGTGAAACGTGCGGAGACAGGAGTAAGGGGTAGAGGGTGAGAAGTGAAAAGGGAGGAATTAGAGGAGGAGGCGACGGAGTGATGGGCGAGTAGGTAAAAGGGTAGGGTGGAGTGGGGTGGAAAAGGCTGAGTCTATGATCGGTGCAGACAAGGGTATGACCATCTGTGTCTCTAACCTTCATAAACAAGTAGGCTGGGTTAAGGATATGATTCTCGTGCTTGCCACCTCGTCCTTTAACCCTTTGTTGTTCTAAGCGTAGCCTGGCGTCATCTGGGCACTTATTAGAAAGGGAGAGTATCAGACCCTGTTCCTGAATCCAAAGTGCATTTTAACAAAGTCCTCAGATGATTCGTGTGCATATTAATGTTTGTGAAGCACTGCCTTCCTGGACAGCCCAGAGAGAGTAGCTCGGGAAAAAGCGGAGTGCGATTCTTCACCCAGGACCGGAAGGGCAGGTGGGCTGGGAAAGGGCGGGCCCTCGGGAGCCAAGCCCAAACCACCCGCTCCTGAGGGCTGCCCTTCCCTTCAGGACACATTTAGTTAGGATCTATAGGGCTCTCTGTCCTCTTTTTCCGGCAGAAGGCACCGTTACGGCTCACAAAACTCGGCCAGCTTGGTCGGGCCCGGGAAGCCGGCTCTGGCTGCCAAGGTTACCGAACCGCGGGGTCAAAAAACCCCCACCAACTCGCGCTCCGGCTCCTCCCGTGACTCGTAACCCCGCCCCCGAGTACCAGGTTGGGGCGGGGCCCAAGGAGCATAGGCCCGCCCCTTCCGAACCTGCCGGAAGTGACGTCATGCACAGGCCGGCCGGTCTTTAGGTCTTCTTCCCCCTCCCGTACTCTTCTTCCCCAGTCCCTCCCCTCCCCTCCCCCTTCCCTCCTCCGCCTCCTGCCTTTGAGGCCGCACGGGTGCAGGAGGCTATGGAGTAAACCCGGTGGCAGCGGCCAGGCTCTGAGGCTGAGCAGGAGCAGCTAGGAAGCGTTTGGGGGGGGCGGGGGAAACAAGCCCCAGCACCGCCCCTCCCGGGAAAGAGGAGAAGAGGTGAGTGACCGCCCACGGGCACCGGGCGATCTCCTTCACCTGCCACACTCCTGGGCTCTTAAGGCTAGCGAGGAGAGAATGGGGAAGGACCCGCACCCAAGGTAGGCCTTCCCAAGGCCCTTAGAGCTGGTGATTGTTGCCTGGTGACTGGCCTGCCGGCTGCGGGCCGGAACAGTGGGCGCCCGCGCGAAGCCGGGCTGGAGGAGCGGCGAGCTCCGGGGAGCAGATCCGAGAGGCCCGAGTCCCCCGAAGAGGCCTTGAGGCGACGGGAGACCAGGGCTGGAGTCATCTGCCGGAGGGAGAGCCCTCTCTCAGGCCCTGGAGCTCCGGTTTCCGCGGTGGAGATCTCGGTTCCCTTTTGGGAAATTGGACACTACTCCGCGACGGGGTGAGACAGCTCCAGTCAGTTCTGAGGTCTGCACCTGATTACCTGGGTTACCGAACAGCGCCCTACCGCCAGGCGTCCTTTTCAGACTAGCTATAGTTCTGGAACGGAAGGTTATTGTGTGTGAGGTGGGTGGGGCAGGTGTTTTGTGAAAACCAACACCCCCCTCGGTGGCTCCTGCACTCTGGTTTTTCTAACCGGGAGAGAAAGGGTGGAGGAAGGTTTAGAGCGATAAAGCTTGCAAAACTTCTTGGGATCCAACTGAATACGTACCCCGCATCGCTAATTAAGGAGACCAGTACTGTCAGGTCAACCCCTATAACAGTCTTCAGTGAGACTGGACTCGAGTGACTTAAAAGTGCCATGTCAGTAGTGACTTAAAATTGTAAGTGCAAACTAGTTTTTTTTAGATCAAATTCAGGCATTATTTGTATGATGACTTTTTTTTTTTTTTAACAAATTGGATTCTGTGAATAATAAGTTTTATCCGTTCTGGAAATTTAACATGGTTTAACGAGAATGCTCCAAACCTGTCACTTTAAAACCCGATCATATTCTAGTAATGGCTTGAAAGTCAGGTACTTGAAGCTTCCTTCTAGACTTTGCAGGCTTTTTTTGTTTGGCTTCCTTATTCTTCAATATAAATATTAATGTTAAAGCTTAAAAATGGTTTATCAGCTGAGTATATAAGTAGAATTCTTGAGACAATATTAGTCATAAAAGACACTTGGAGGATTGTGTAAAGGGAAGGAACCTAGTGGAAGGTGGAAGGTAAGGACCTTCATTCTGTTCAGACCCATTTACACACATGCCAAAACCTACCTATTCTTTTGTCTCTGAGATCCATAAACACTCCATAAAAACAGACACATTGTACTTCTATACAATAGAATACCTCTGAACAATACACTACTCGCGTTTGAAATTCATTATTTATGCCCCCCCTCCAAGTCCTCTTACTGTGTTTAACTCGAGTAACTAGCTTCATCATTCCTTTCTGTAGGAGTAGAAGTGTGACATCTTCTGTCTTGCATGACTCATATTAATCTTTCTTGAAGTCTATTAATTTGCCTCTTGAAAATGTCCACTCTTCCTTTTCACTACTAGTACTCTATTTCCAGCCATCATCATCTCTCACCTGAATTACAACCAGCTTCCTAATTATGGGTTACTTGCATTTACTGTGGCTGGATCTGTAGTTTTCCACACCAGATTGAGTGACTTTTTCAAAAATGCAGAGCTAATCACATTGTCTTCATGTGTAAAGCCCTTTAGTGACTTTCATTGTTTTTAAGAGAAACTAAAATCCTTAACCTGTTTGGGTCCCTAGTTACCTTTCCAACCTCATCCCCACAGTGTGTTTTGGCATTCCTTAATTACTCTGTTCATTCTGTACTGCTTCAAGTACGTGGCTTTTGGTTATGATACTTTCTCTGCTTGGAAATGCACTTCTTTTTGTTTTCATCCAGTTACTACTGCCCGTTCAGTTCAGGGAAGACTTTCCTGGTTAGGAGAGATTCCTAACACCATTGCAGAGTTGCCATATTTATTAATAATAAATTAATGAGATGTTTCTCATGTAATACTGTGTAAGTGCTAAATAAATGTTTGTTAAATGAATTCGTTCAGTGCTTACTAAATGTCCTAGAAATTATATTAAGCATTTTATGTGTCGTCCTCCTTAATCCTCCTTTGGGTGGCATGTCCCCCTTCTTATGGATTAGAAATAGTGTTAGGGAGATAGTTGGTGGTCCCAGTGCTAGTACGTATTAGAACAGGCATTTGAAATCAGGTTTCCTTGCCACTGAAGATTGTATACTTAATCACATAACATTTAGTCTTCACACTGTGCATCAGAACACCTGGGAAGCTGCTCAAAATACAAATGCCCTGACTGCACTTTATAGATTCTGATTACAAAGGTCTGAAATAGTAGGTAGGCATCTATGTGATTATCAAGTTGTCCAGTCGTTTGGATGTTACTAGATGTATTTAGATGTTCATCAGTGTTTGAAAACCATTGCCTTAGACAACAGTTCAGTGCTTTATGAGTTTCAGTTTTCACACATTCACTGTATTTCAGATTTTGTATGTTCTTAAAGCAAGGAAGAACTGTAGACCTAAGGAAGTGAGCCTAGTGGTCATTCTAATTTCCTACCCAGTTATTCCTTCTCCCCCTTCTCCAGCTGAAGGGGCTGAATAGTGAGATGCTGCCCCAATGCTGCTACTTTTTTGAAATTATGGTAATTTTAGGAATCTGTTTTGAGTTGCTGTAGTAAAAACTTCACTAAGTACGTGGGCTTGAAGTGCCTTCAGAAGAGTTGGATGTGATCTCTCCTCAGATCTTATTCAGATTACTAGTTCGATATTAGAGCATATGTTGCCTTATAATTTCTCATGTTGCTTTTTTAAGTCTTATGGTACAATGGCCTTAAGTTTGTAAATAGTGATGGAATGTTTTACTTCTTGTTTCTCCTACTGTACCTAGTATGGTGCTTTACATGTAGTAGGTAACCAATAATTTGTTGAACACGTGTGCATCACTGTTCAATCCTAAGGCTCTTTAGTGTTTTGTGTTTTTCTTAAATAGGTTTGTCTCCTGTAAGTAATCTGTTCTAGCTTAACTGATAATTATTAGATACTTTTTGTAGTTGTAAAGAGAATGGTTGTACTCGGCTGGTGTAATCTTTGTTTTCTGAATGAGATAAAACATGATGGAAAGGCCAGTGTTAACCATTTTTTTGAAAACTATCTTTTTAAAGCTTATAGTATTCTCTGAGTGCTCTGACAAGAAACAAAAATGTATTTCAAGAATAAATCTCAGAATCATCTTACTTTAGACGTAAATAGATAAGCACTGCATATGGGAACGTAAGGTATGACATTTTCCCCAAATTTTATGAATCACTTTGCCAGAAGTATTTGTGTCATGTTAATGTAATTCTTATTTTGAATCACAAAATTTCATTTTATGAGTACCTAGCTATATAAATCACTGTAAAGTGGTATTCTTTTATTTTCAGGCATTAACATAGAAAGAAATCTCAGACTCAAAACAATTTTGAATTCATTGGTATTCATTTGTATTGTTCATTAGTGGTCAGTGTATATTATTTTGTGCTTATTGAAAGCCTAGTTTCTGCTAGGTGCCATGAGACTAACAAGTACTGAACATAATTTCATTATCAGATGTAGTTATAGTAACTATTTTATTTGCATTACAGTATTTCCATAATACATAAATACATAAATGCAAACTAATTCTACTTTTTAATATTTTATTCTTGGGGAAGTAAGGGACTCTTTACAGTTGTGTTACTTAAAAATGCAGGATTTTTTTTAGCATAAATCTAATTTTACCGACTATATTCCTGCTATCTCTAGAGTTTATGAGTAGGCAGAACTGAAGGAATTGCCAGTTCCTTTCAGCTACCTGCCATTAGGTGCTGTAACAGTCAACCCACCTTCTGGCAGGTGCATGTAAAATCAAGTTTGCATCAGATTTACCTTCTGGTTCTACCAAAAACCAAGTGATGGCTGAGCCAGATGGTAGAGAGATATAGTCTTGGAATCATAATTAAGTTGTCCCAAATCTTATTTTGACTGAGATTTAGGAGGGAAAGATGATTGAATCTCAAGTGAATTCTGCTAAATGGTGTACAAGGGGAAATGGCTTATATGAATGGACATTTCTGTCATTTATAGCTTTGTCTTTGGAAAAGATAGGCTGTTTTCTTCAACAATCAAGTGAGAATTTGAAAAGCTATCATTTTAAGAAAAGATATTTGGACTCATATAAGATTTCTTTTATGTCAAAGGGATGTTGCTAATAATTCAAAATCTCATTTAAGTTCAGGTCTTCTTTTAAAAATTCTTCCAGTTCATCTGTCTTTAGCCTACTGTTACTTTCATGATATTCTTGAGTCTCCTTGACTAACCTTTTTCAAGGTTACAGACTTAACTGCTGTACTGCTTATAAGCTCATGGTACCCAAAGTTTTGTCTTCAGTCAAGACTTTTTTTCAAAGTTTTTGGCCTATGTATCTAAAAACCTACTAGATGTATCTCCATGTGAATGTCATTCAGGCAACTTAACTTCAACATGTCCAAAATTGAATTCTTCCTCTCACAAAACCAAGAGTTATCTCCTCTAAGTCCTGCCTGGGTAAATGGCTTCACCCTCCACTTAGACTCTGAAATGGGAGACCTGATTGGGATTCCTAGTTTTGTTCCTTTCCTTTATCTAATTGGTCACTAAGTTCTCTTAGTTCTAACTCGTACTTGTTTCTTACTTTTTCCTTTCTTTTCCTTCCTTACTATTACCTTACTTGAGCAACCTCTCCCTCTGTTAAAATTTGTTTAAAATTCGAC